ATCACTAACTTTTGGAGGGCAGCAGATGACTTCAGGACGACGCAGTAAACCATTAAAATGAATACTAGGATTTCTGCTTTCTGTTTACAACCTTATCAGAGCATGGCGTTTTCCTGTGAGATTTTCACTCTTGCAGAGCCGTTGACAAGTGAATGAAAAATTAGTAAATGCCTTGTCTGCACTGTAATAAAATACATTTAAAAAAAAAAAAAAGTCTTAAACCCCTTAAAGCACAGCAAATCGGAGGGGCGAAGGGGGTGTTTTGGAAATTGTACACGTGCAGTAACTACGCGCTACTTCCCAAAACATGCTTCCAGCCATTATGTACAAATATTGGCTTGGAAATGAAAGCCTAGGCGAAGGGCCGGCACTAGGCGAAGCTGCTGGCTGGCGGGGCGCTGCTCCGCCGCGGACGCCGTGTACATGCCGTGCTGTCACAGAACGTGTCGGTCCCTCCCGTCCTGGTGTGTCACCAGCGTTGCATCACTGCCAGTGAAATAACGCGGCTGCCTCGCCGCCTTTTTTTTTCAGCGACAGCGAACTTCAGCACAATCAATCTCTGAGCCTGTGCCCAGCTCTATCACCCACGCAGGCCAGCTTTGCCGCAGTACCCTGCTTTTTAGGGCCCTTCTTTTTCCCCCGCCGTGGCCTCATTTGGGAAAAATAACCCTCTCGCCACCTGAAAGATGTCATGATTAAGTTTAAAGATTGGCAGCCACGTTATTGCCTGTCGTTATCCCTTTAGGCCTCTGGGATTACTGCTTTCACTGACCATTATCGGTGCGCTCCCAGGAGCTGTGCCACGTTAAATGGCCTCTCCGATGGCCCCTGCAATCCACCGCAAACCCTGAACGCTGCTAAAAGGCTCCAGCAGCCGCTGACAAATCCCAGCAGCAAAACACACGAAACGTTTCTGGGCGCTAACACAGAAGCAGCAATAGATGTGATAGGCACCGTCTCACCAGGCTGCTGCCCTTCCTTACTGTTCAGCAAGCAGGCAGGCGGCCACAGCCACGGCCAGGTTGCCCACGTGGCTTTCAAATTGCATCTCGGTGCCCCAAAAAGTTCCTTTTTCTAGCTTTACCCACAGCAAACCTGCTGAGTGCTGCTCTTTATAACGGCAGAGCTATCTGTGGACACTGCTTGTCATTTTAGTGAGTTAGCAAAGGGCACCAGAGACCACGAAAACATCTTACTGTATGGTTCAACCACAATTTTAGAGAAAACACATTCATAAGAAAAATCCCTTTCTTCTGTATTTTTGACAGCAGAGGAAAAACCCACTTTGGGTGAGCTTTCAAGAGGGTTTCCCAAATGACGGACACAGAGGAACCATTGCTGATCTCTCCAGAGCACCTTCTTTTACTTTTGGAAATTAAATGCACTAGTGTAACATTCAGCATTGGTTGCAGCTACAAACACTCTAGCTGAAACCTGCAAGCTACATACTTGTTCAACCAGATTCATGTTATTATCTTCTCCCTTTTCCTTCGTTGTGGCAAGAGTAACAATTTAATTAGATGTATGGTTAGGGGGGGGGGGGGGGAAAAGCCTGTATTATTTATAACTATAGCGCAAGACATTATTTTTAGCTGAAGAACTCTTAAGAAAGAAGCAGCGCCCGGACCGATTTTCACATACAACTTCCTGAATTTGTGATTCAGAGCCAAATTTCAGGGCCAAGTTTAATTCGGGTTTTGATCCTTTTGACCTCTGTGCGTTAGCAAGAGCTCCGGTTTTAGTGCTTGTGGCTTCGCTGCTTCCGAGCTCTATAGATCTAAAACTCAAGAGGTCCAACGGCTGCAAAACCAGCGATGCTTCAGAAAAGGCAGCCTTCGGAGAAATAAAGCTGTCAACCTCCTGTGGTTCTCGGGGAAATTTGGGAGGCGGGGGAGCGCCTACCCGGGCACAACACGACACTGATAGGAGTGGGATGTATCCCATTACAGGAACTGCGCGCTCCCAAACAAGCGCCGGAGTCACAGGCTGTTCTGTGCCGTGCAGTGAAGATAACACCGACAGGTTTCATGCTGCAAATCCATCCTCCCCAGCAACTTTTCTTTTTTTTTTTTTTTTTTTTTAACCTAAACTATATTTGACTTCGCTGTCAAGTATTTCAGCGCAGCTGCTATTCTCAGGTTCTCCTAAAATACACACAGTAGGTACTGTACTATTGCACATATAAACATCTACCTTCCTACCGCAGCTATTTATGATTAAAATAACTTTTCTCCATTTCTGATTTCATTTCCTCTCTCCGAGCCCCGTTCCACGTTGCACAGGAGGTGCTTTCAAGACTGCGCCCAGAACCAGCCTTTAGCGTGAAATAAATAAATAAAACGTCAGCCTAGTTGGAAGTTCAGAATTTAATGTCCAGTTTCCCTTTTGGGTGACCTACGAACAAGACTTGACCTCTGATGCCTCACGGTTTAGGGAAAAGAAAGGACTGAATGTGAGCAGCGGGCTGGGGTGGTGGTGGAGGGGAGCTGCCTGTCATCTGCCGTTTCCTCCGATACCACCGGTGTTGGTTCCAGTCTCTGCTGGGCTTATTACATATCTTACTGGGGCTTGCACAGGACAAGTCCTCTCTCAAGATCTGACCCAACTGCAGCTATTACGGCCAAAAATTGTGCAGTTGCGCAACAGCTACACTTAGCAGTGGTGGATCTGACTCTGTCTAAAAACAAACTCCTTGGGTAAAGAACACGCATGCTTTTTGGCTGCACTGGAAGAGGACAAAACGGCAGTGTGCAACTTAACAGGCTCTTCCACTCTTCTAGGACATTTTCACGGTTCAGGGGTTCTCCACTGATGTGATGCACGACAAGGAGCCAGCGGCTCCTCTGCACTGAAACTCACAGCATCATCTCCTAAACTCACCCGTCCAGCTTGGCAAAGGGTCCTCCTCATGCAAACATCCTTGTCTCCATCCACCCTCGCACCAGGCGAGTGTGGAGGTCAAAGTATTAACACCACAGTTACAGAGCTGAGGGGGCCGTACACAGGAACGTTACATTTTCAGCCGAGCTCCACGTAGCAGCTCTCTACTGCACGCAGACGGCAAGCGGTCAGGATGTTCAGACAGATGTTCCCAGCACCTGGTCCTTATCCGAAACCTCCCTTAGAGGTACCCGTTCCCCTCAAGAGGATCTTGCTCTCAGTGCATGTATTCTTTCATAATCTAACACGTTCAAGCCCAAAGCTTCTTTTCGTCCCAAAGCTTTTGCACGATTCATAACTTTGGCATGACATTAGCTCTGACACTTCTGGAGGGCTAAGGAAAACCCCTCCTAACTCTCAGAAACGTTACTCTGGACATAGCTGAGCAGCCTCATGCCTTGTCCATGACCGTGCTGCCTACTCAGCCAGCTATTAACAAATAATTAACCCACACTGAGGCAAAGGCTCCTTTCTGCCTGATAGGATGGGGCCTCAAGTTTTCAGCATGAAGCTCCCTTGTACTGAACCGAGTATGTCCCAGAAATCTTTCCGTGGGCAGCTGTACTCTGGATGAACAGTGATATAAACAACAGAGATTAATGGGGTTCATCTTTCGCTGTTAAAGTAAAACACATGTAACTGCTACAAACCATTTCGAGGCGATAAGGGGTTTGGGGTGAGCGAGGCTCAACCTGGACTCTGTGACCCCATGGCACACGTCCAAGCACAGCAAGAGGAAGCTCCCACCGCAGGGCACTGGCTATGAATTATTCCCTTCCTGAAGCTGAGCCGCAACCCACCCCAGCAGGTCCCAGCCGCAGGCACCAGCGCCGCAAGGCTGCATTTTGGCAGCATCGCGCTCCGCTCTGGCTCCTGTGCGGAGTCGCTTCTGCTCATTTACCAGCGCTTAAAATCGGCCGCACGACTGAAGTTGCACCGGGAGACAAGCAGCAGCTCCATCTGGTTTCAGGGGAATGCAGAGTGCGGGAAGCGGCTAGCGCTGGTTCGTGTACTTTTGGTCTTTCTCAGATGCTAAGAGGAGTTGCCTATTGCTAAGATTCTTGCCGTTGCCAGTAATTCACAACCACAGAAAAATGTTATTTACCTGGCCCCTTCCTCAGACATGATCTAACCAAGGGCCTCGTCCCTCTGGAGCAGAGATGGTGCAAATTCACAATCCCAAATGGCATGTTCCCCTCCAACAACCACAGGACAGCTACCTTAATCCTGGGGTTGAGTCCAACCAAGCAGTTGGATACCTCCATAAATACACACGCTCTGAACCTGTCGCTTCCTTACACAATTTGGTAGTTTTCCTCAACAGCTGTTGTTTCCCCAAGAGCCTTAGTCTTCCTTCTCCTTGCTTTTAAGTTCCCCTTTATTTATATTGAAGGAATTTGCATGAGGACTTTACAGAAATTTGCACTTCTAGGATAGAGAAGTGAAATTTGTAATCAGATGCTCTAGATACGCCTATACATTAGTAAATCAGGGGGCAGAGGTTAAGAGAAAACTATCAGGTCACTACTCATCTGTGCTGCCTGCTCTCCCTTCTCCAAAGCCCATCCACTGGAGATGTGAGGCTGGCGCTCCTCCCGGCCTGGCGCCCTCAGGTCCCTGAGGCAGAGCAGGGTACTCTTCTGGCACCTGCCCATTTAAAACAACTGCTGGATTTGTAGTCAGAGGGAACCCCCCTCCTTTGCCCTGCCCTGCCCTCAAGATCAGACTGACAGGGAAGGCTGTTGGAAGATTTTTTTTGTCCCGACTTCTGGCATGGGATCCTCTGGACATCGCATTTAACAGCCACTTTGCACCTGCAACGCCCTTGGTTTCCCCTGGTCTTTGCACGTAGTACAAAGTGTTGTGGCTTCTGTCTTTTCTCACAAGGTGAGGGAAAAGTGTTTTGGCCAACATGGTGTGCAGGCCAGATCTCCCAGACTCTTTGGAACACGACGTTCATTGGCGTGGGTGACTGGCCCAGACCCACCGACTGCAGGTCCATTAGAAACTCCTTCTTTGTAGGAGAGAAAGGTGCACATATATTGCAAAAATAAACTTACCAACATGTCGGAACCCAAAGTCACATGGTTTTCTTTGAATTTTTTCTACCTACTTTTCACCTCTTTTTACTGAAAGAAGTGGTTTACAGATTGGACACTTGCATCAAAAAAAAACAAACCTCTGCTTAATAGCCTTATCTCAACCCCCAGCACGTTAACTCAAGGTTGTTACCTCTCCTACCTCCTTTCCTCGCACGCTGGAAAACACGGGAAAACAAACAAAAACCACAAAGGGCACATGGGAAAGCTTTGATGCAGTACAGACAGGACAGATTTTCTGATTCACCTTCACTCTCTTCACTTTTCTGTTTTCGTCAGACACTAGGTGATACGTACGGGTTCTTGTATCTACACGTTTGACAATTTCTAACTGGTGTAGGCTTCAATACACGATGTGCAGCACGGAAAACAGAAGTTATTTAAACTCCTCCACCCTCCCCAAACACATAGGAAAGCCTCAGCTGGCAGCCAGCACGCTGCAGTACTGACACTGTTTCTAAAATCTACAAACCAGCCTCCAGCACGTATTGCTGCAGAGACGCTTACCTGCACTTTAAATATGTAGATTTGACTTTTTTTGACTGCGCAGAAAGCACACGATGTAAAAAGAAAGCAGTTTTAACATGACACAGAGCTGCACGGTAGCGCTCCCTCCACGTTACGCAGCTAAAGCTTCAGCTGACAGCGATGGCTCCGTGACAGAAATACTCCATCAAGCTACAGCTTTGCAAAACTGTAAATGATTACAGAATAATGCCCTGCAATCAAAGAACAAAATGTGTGCTGCGGATTAATCACTTTCCAAGATGGGAAAGGAAAGATAGGCTTGAGAGATAAATCTGGCTGGGGTGTTTATGCAAGCGTACCATGCTCCTTAGTACTGCATGTCCCAGAAGGTACGGAGGAAGTAAACAATGCGCTGGGTGGGTGTGCGGGGGGTGTGCGAGGTGTGGGGGGGTGGGGAGGGGGGTGTGTGCGCGCCCGCGCTCACAACCCGAAATAGGACAGCCTGTGAAAAATGCCAGACTTCCAGTTACGAAACACGGGCCTCGGAGGTCCCCCGACTGCCAGCTCTGTTGCTACTGCCCGGGAAAATCTCTAAGAAGGGCCCGTCGAGATACAGCCGACGCTTCCCTTTGGCATTTCAGACTTCCCTTGACGACGGCAGGAGGGTGCCCGCGGACGCCCGGGCCCTCTCCCCCAGCGCACCTCAGCAGCCGTGGCAGGCAGACAGCGCGTGAGAAAGGCAGGGATTGCAAGCGCTTCTGGTTGGGATTTACTTCTGGAGGCTCACTCCGGCAACCTACGTTTTCAGTGTCCCTCCAGCATATAATCATGCTGCTTTTGGCTGCTTAAGCAATGCCAGCTTTCATGCATTCCTCATTTTTGTGTAAACATATTTACATTTGTAACTCCTAACTGGCTTAACGCGCTACACAGGCATTTTGAGGAAAACCCTACCAGCGCTTGAATTAAACGCAACACTTCGACAGTCCATTACGAACACGGTAAACAACGGACCGGCTGAATCAGGGGGGCCGCATTTCCACAGAGGGCTCCCGGTGACTTCAGCGACCGCGCAAGCGAGGGCTGACCCAAGGCGGGTTTCGGCCGAGCGGGCCTGTGAAAACACCGGGCTGCCCCGGCATGAAACTGCGAAGCGAAAGAGGGGAGCAGCCCTAAGCCTGACCCCGACCTCGCAGAGCGAAACCCTGCAGCTCACAGCTTGCGCCAGGGAAGCGGGGTCGCGGTGCGCTCCTTCGTCACGGGCCAAGAGGCGCATTCACGAGCTGTTAGGTCATAAATTAAAAGCGCCTGAGCGTGTTGCATCACGACCGCTCCGTGCCACCTGACTGCAACGGGTGCGGGAGAGGCCGGCGACCTGGATTTAGACCGGGGGCTGCACATGAAAACTGACGGGTTCGCTGGGAGGCCCCTCTGCAAAAGCTCGCCGGGGGCCCGTGCCACGGCAGCCCGAGTTACAAAGGTACTGAGTCCCCTTATCACGATTCAACGCGTTACAAAAAAGTTAAAAAAACATCTCCACGCGGAGAGTTTCAGTTGTCACCACCGGCTTTGGAGGAGGTTGGGGCACCACGCAGCAATTCCTCACCTGAGGATGACAATTCTACACCCAATGTGTATTTCCACGCAGGAGCTGATAAAAATTTCCCAAACCCAAAAGTGAGATACAGTGCCAGGGTATGCCCTGCAACAGTGCCACGTACAGGGAAAACACTTGACAGAAACCAACTATTTAAGGTCCCTCCTCCCTGCAAATATCTGGCTCTGTATTAAAACCAATTAACAATAGTCTACTAATAACAAGACTGTGATGTAGCTGCGAGATTCCCCTAAAGCAAAATCCTGCCAATGCTAGTAATTGGTTCGGCAATGTGCACCAGCTCAATGGCACAGGCGTCTCCAATTCTTGGAAACATTACATCCACTCTAATTCCCCCCCAAGGTCACCACAACCATCAGAAAATCCCCGTACATCGTGACCCAGAGAGCTGTGACTAAACAGCTGCTATCAATAGCCTGGGAAACTGAAGCGCGGGATCTGAAAGGCATCAGCCACCACCAGCGAACCCCTCAGCCGACCGAGCTGCTGAAACGGCTTGGGGAGCAGTGGTGGAGAATAAACCACAGATTTCTCTTGCAGGAGAGATAGCAGGGCATGCCAGATTTGCCTTTGCGCTATTTGTTGCAATGCGTGTTTGCACGCACTTTATTGCAATGGAAAGAGGAGAGGCCACCCTGTTGCCTGATTTGAACTTTATCACGAAGGAACGAGGGACTCATAAACTGAACACGCTATGCATAAGCTCTTTAAAAGGTCAGTATAAGGTTATTCACACCATTAAATGACTTGATCTAGCACCAAGTCCATTGGAAGCTGCATACTGACTGACAGAAACTAAGTCGCACCCAGTGAAAGCAGCAAAGGTGCCCATCCTCCCACATTCCAAGGCATCACCTTGCAGTTTTAAGCAACAATTCAGTATGAGTTTCTCGGTCTAATTCTGATAACAAAAAAACAGTGATCAGCTTCCCACCTAGATGTGGAGGCATTTACCAGAATCATTAAAGGCCAGGCGTGAAGTTAGCAGCAGAGGCAGAAGATACAAGCAAACCGGGGAGCTATGTAAGGAAAAGGCTCTTTGTATTTTCTAGTCCAAATACATCAGATCAGAGGGCACCTACTAGAGGATGCAGAATATGGTGTGTCTATGGACTGTATACTTTCATGTCTCATATATTATCAGTGAGGAACTTGTATGTCTCCTCTCTTCTCACCAACAGGGAAGGAAAAAGGAACAGCCTCTCACCATGGAAATGACAGCAATTACTACGCGTACCATAAAATATTTTAGGGACAGCTCAGTAGCCCTATGAACTGCATAATCTCAGACACTGTTTGCTGTCTAGTTCAGGCCACACCAAAACAGAGATCGAAATCTCTGCGAGGCTGGATCCTCCATCTCTTACACAAATGAGCAATCCCTCTGTACACAGTATCAGTAGAGGAAACAGGACTACCCAAATGACTAAGGATTTGCACACTGATGGCACCAGGACTGCTCACCTAAGGGTGGATTAGTTAAAAAAATAAACAGTGTTGTAAATCATAGGTGGTACCGTGAGCCCCACCTACACCTCATATTGTCCAACACTTCCTATTATAAAACCCTGTTCCCCGTTGCTAATTGCTTTGCAAATCTGAACTGAAACTGGGATTAGAAATAGGGTAAGTAAGTAGCCTGGGACAGGCAAGACATGGGAAATAAGGAATCCTGGGGAAGGGAAAAAATGTGGAATGAGGAGCTGGAGAAAAAAAAACCAGGCAAGCTGGACAAGGAGAGCAGATCTGGAAAGCAGGGGAGGTGGGCAGAGGGGTGGGAGATGACAGGAGAAGGAAGGAGGGATGCATGGAGCAGGACTGGAAATCTCAGGGAAGAAGGCTGGGACAGGAGACCACGGCGGGCGAGAGTCTTGGGGAGGGGGGAAGAGGATGCGGGGCTGGGACGGTGCCCATCGGGGAAGCCCACAGAGACTGGGGAGGCGAATGACACAGAGGAGCACAACGGGAAGGGCATATTTCTTTACTCAGCGCTGAGTGCAACAAATGTGGCACAGGGCCCACACAGAGATCACGGGGGATGAGCCGAAACCCTGAATACCCTTTGAAGCATCCAGCCCGACAAGGAGACTGGGGGTGGATAGAGCGTGTGAGCTCGTTACTAACAACGGAGTCACAGCCAGCGTGAGAAGTAATTTCAAGAGTTGGGGGTAACTTTATTTCTGACATTTTGTACTTCCTGAGCACTTGGCTTTTATATTGAGACATTTTTGCAGTGTAGATTTCCGTATAAATGAAGTACGCTCTTATTTAGTACTTCTGCTCGGCACTTCACTGAATAGTGAGAACTATCCACGGAGATACTCCAGTGATCTGCAGTTAATGGTCAAGCCATGCGAAATCCAACTTTCCTACTCACTGTCTGCTCCTGGAAAATGGGAAAGGCCAATCACTGGCATTGCTCGAACCCACCCCCTGTATCGTGGCAATCCTAGGGAGAAAGCTGCTGGCCCTCACATGCCTGTGCCCACCTGGAAGGATCGGTGGTTTGATACCTGATACAGTTTCCCACAGAAAGTAAAGAAACTATCATCTCTCATCCCATGCAGAGCTTTTTTTTTTTTTTAAAAAAAAAAAACAAACAAAAAAACAACAACAACAAAACCAACAACCATCCAACAAAAATGTCAAACCAGAAACCAGGCACTAAAGACTGGATAAATTTAGTAAGATGTCATGATTCAACTACAATCAAAGGAAATCCATACTTAATTTCTCTAACAACTGCTGTCATACTGTTCAAGTAAACTGTTTTTCCTTCAGGCTGAAGGGACACCAAATCCACACTATTTCTCAATTTACTACTTTTTTCCCTTTTTTTTTTTCCCTTCAATTAGAGAACATTGTCATTCCACATGCTTAG